GTGCTTGGGAGGGGGACATGGCTTGCGCTCCCCCCCATCCCGCCACAGGCTGCAGGAGCCCCGGGAGCCCAAGGAGGAACAGGCGCAGATGCTGCTCAAGATCTGCGATGACAGCGAAGCAGCACCAAGGTAGGCAACGGCAAGCACCCGGGTGCTGAACTCCCTCCGTGCCCTTTCCCAGATGCCGACCCTGCCAAGGTGCCTTCCCTTCCCCAGGGACGCCTCGCCCAGCGGCAAGGACGGGGGTCCAGCCAGCCCTGGGGAGGACTGCGTGCCCAGCGGCACCACCGGAGACCCCTCCCCAAAAAGCAGAGACTGCTGCAAGGGCCAGCAGAAAAGCGGGGCTGAGAGCACTGCCCGGAAAGAGGTTGCACCATAGAGCCCGACACCGAGTGAATGTGCAGAGCTGCTTGGCGCTCGCTGCGCAAAAGCCGTGCCCTGGTTGTTGACCGGCTCCTCTTGCCTTGTGCCACGAGCGAAGGCAGGAAAACACAGCCCGGGCACACAGTGTCTGCAGCATATCAAAAGCCTGCCTTAGGGTGACTTTGTTCGTCTGAAAAAATAATTGTCTTTATACTCTCCCTCTTGCGTGTTAGAAGCGAAATAAAAGGGCGCAAGTGTACGTGTCCGCCTGGTTTTGCAGCTCTGGACAAAACAGGCCAGCCAGCTTGGGTTATCCAGCTGCTCTTAAAACCACAAATTTGCAAACATGTGGGGAATAAAAACAAACCAAAACCAGGGTAGATCCAGGAGCTCACTGCAGGGTCTCGGAACGTCCTGTGAACTGCCAACAGGCAGCGGAGCAAAAACGCAGGCAGAAAGAGGGGCTCTGCTCCTTGTGCACCTGTGCCATTTGAAAACTTCGGGACTGCTGGGGTGCGGGAGGGCAGGGTCTGACACCGTACTCCGGCTTTTCACTAAAGAGTCAGATGCCTTCCCCAAGCCTGGTGAGCTCCTGTCTCCTCACTGAGCTTCCAGTCACAGGATTCAGGAAAATAAAAGGTTAAGAGAGGCTGCTGGTCTCCAAAGCACCCAGAGGGCTCCGAAGATTTTACTTTAGGTGAAACTTATCCCTTTCTTTTGGTGCCAACGCATCCTGCCTTGGGCAGACCCTGCCACCGCACATCTGGAACCTGGGTCAGAGCTAACGCTGGCAGGCTCTCACAAATTAAGATCCAGGTGCATTTACTACAAAGAATATCTTGAGAATAAAGCTTCGTTTCCATCATCAGCTCAAATAAAACCCAAGCGACAATCGCTGTGTTTGTTTCAAAGTACACTTGTGCAAGTTCACAGCAGAAATGTTAACGCCTACAAAAAAATTAGTTAAAAATTAACTTCTCCAAGGCACATTGGCGTTTACAACAGCAGGTCACAGCTTCCATGAGGATGTGAGCTAGAGGCACAGAAAAGCCTGAGCAGGAGCCTGCGAGTGACTACGCAGAGAAATCAGCGCTATCCAGCTGGTGTATTTTCATGTTTGCTCTTTTCTCCCAGGCTAAAAACATGCTCGGTAAAAGACAAATTACCAGCAAAAGCATTAAGCTGATGCTCCGTGCAGAACACACTCTGCAATACAAAGCAAGCCTGGCAGAGGAAGGACTCTGCATCAGTTAGACGAAGAATTTGCCCCATCTCAGTGGCTGCACAGCCCCACGAGTCACTGCGAGTTGTGGTCGTGCTTCAACACAACACTGGACTGTACTGAAAACCCACTGGGAATTGTAAAAGTGAGGATTCCAGGTTCAGTGTCATCACCAGCACCTCAAGGGATCTCCAAATAACCACCAGACAGAAGCTGGCAATGTTTTCTCTTGTTTTTTTTATAAAAAACCCCAACCAAAACTAAAGCAATTTCCATCAGTGCCCCCTTTCCTGAGCCATACCACAGCACCTTCACCAAGGAACACCACAAGCCCGAAGCGTGAACTCACAAGCAACTCGTTTCCATTCCAGCTAGGAAGAATAACGTAAAACTCAAGAAAACAGTGAACCTCTTTGGTATATAACGACAGAATAAGTTATACCACAAAGCTTGAGTAGGAACCATTTCCAAAATGGTAATGTTTAAAATAGCATTAGCTAGCCAAACTTTTTTTCCCCATTTGGAGAATTTCCCTAGAAGCACCTCCTAGTCAAGCCGATATCCCAGGTTTCACCAAAAAAAGCAGGCAAGGACCTCGAGCGCTAAAGCCCTCGGCAAGCCCAGCAGCTGCAGTTCTTTCTCAACCCAAAATCCTGGGATCTCTGCAGGACGGAGGCAGCCTGGCAGGATAGGAAGCAGCACGATTCGGAAGCGGGAAGAGGGAACAGAGGTGGTGGTGGAAAGGCTTGGGAAGGCAGCGGCTGAAACGGTGACTCCCGAATTCACAGCAGCAGCTGAAGGAGGAGGGAGTGGTCTCTCTCTCCTGCCACGTTTCACAGAGGCGCTCATGATGCAGCGGCGTGAGACGAGCGGGAAAGGCTCCCTGTGAACCTTAACACCTGGGGGAAAATTGATTGGTGCCGCGCTTCTGGCTCTGTGGCAAGCAGGGGGTAGGCAGCCCCTGCGCCTGAAGAGCGGAGAGCCGGAGGCCCGCCAACGTGAGCCGCCTGAGCACCAGCTTGCAGAATCGGGCCGAAAGAGATTAAAGCCACGCTGCCTGGCTCGCAAGGTCAAAAAGCTTTAAAATCGAATTATGCCACAGGAACAATCCGCTGACCGGCGCCTTTCCTGCACGGGGGTGGGAGGGCAGAGCTGTTCTCTGGAAGAATCGGTCCGGAGGTGTTTCTGTACAATTCGGCCGCTGCAGGCAAGAGGGTTCGATTCTCTTTAGGGTCGCTACAGGCTAAGTTATCTGGAAGATCCCTGAATGTGCAACGAAGGAACTATCTTGAGGAGGACGAACGAGCTTCTGATCTGCTAGTGACCCGGCAGGCCGCCCAGCTCCGCAGCCCTCCGCCAGCTCCTCCTGGGCAGCCGGGAATTACCAACAGGCTACTCCTGGTGCCACAGATCTCACCCTGCGGCGCCTGGAGCTGGGCGTTCACTCAGCCAGTCCAGTTTTTGCCCACGTTACAGTTCCACTTTGACTCCTTTAATAAAAGGGAGACCTGATGGCACCTTCCTTTTGTACTCCAGGTACTCTTCTCCAAAGAAGTGAATGAGTGTGATCTCCTCCTCCTCGATCCGCTCCCTGAAGAAGCGCCAGGACGCCAGCGCATAGCCCACCACACAGATGGGATTGCAGAGCAACACCTGCGAACAGACACCAGTGGTTAGCATACCCTCGTCTTCCAAAGAAACCGAGGATGCCCCCCGCCCCCATATGCTAATCACCCTTCATTAAGTTGGCCACAAGGTCTAAACGCTCTCCAAAGAAAAGATAAGATCCCAGCACTTTTTGTGGAATTTCATTCTGGGGAGAAATTAGTGCTTATGAAGAAAGCGGTCCACGGGCAGCTACCGGCTCCTGCCCCGGCTCCAGAGAGCCCATGCGTGGCCACGCTGCTCCACTTTCAGTCTTTACAGTCTCTCTCCAGAGAAATAAACCCAAATGCCAACCACGAGAAGAGCACGACTAAAGCAGTGCAGACTTACAGCTCCACCGCAGCTGGCTTCCAGTTTACCCTCCAGCCAGAGCACTGAACACTCTTAGAGGGAGTTTTCTTTGCCAGCCTGGCACAGGACCGCTATTTGGCAGGAGTGAGGTTGAGTCTGATCACTTACAGAAGGCATTTTGGCCATAGGGATGCAAGAACACTCTGGACACCAGCTTTAGGCTAGCGGCGGGTCACGTCCTGAGCCTCTAAGGGCGTTCTGGCTCAAGCTCCAGCCCTGCCGCCTCTGCTTATTCCACACAGAAAATTAAGGCGATGAGGTCTTCCCAAAGATCGTGCAGGGCAGAGCACTCAGGGTTTCCTGACTCCCCACGTGCCAGTGGTGCCAGTGCAGGAGGTGTCAAAATCCACGCCCAGGCCACCCCTGCCGCTGACCAACAGCTTGCATCCCATTACAGGTGTGGGGCAGCATTAAGAAGAAAGACCCAGGTTATAAGACGAAAGTATCTGAGCATGTTGTATACGGTACCTGTGTTCCAATACTCCAGTAAAACCATCCCACGTAAGACGGGTGTCGGAACCACCCATACACCCCACTTGTCACCAAAGTATGAGTATCCGATTTCTCATTCTGAACAATATGGTTGAAGTTGGAGCCAGCTGTGAGCATGGCCGCTTTCCTCAGACAATCCCCAAAGATCACCATCAACAACCCTACAGTACTCAGCCAGGTGATCTGCTTCAGCTCTGCAAGTGAATAAGGACGGGTCACAACAGGTTCGCACAGGTCACGCTCGCGGTGCGGGGGGTCACGGGGGGTTGGGTCTCTGGGTGGGCTTTTCCCCTCCCCATCTCAAAGCACGACGTGTAAAACAGCCAGTGTTCCATGCGCTGCCATCCCGCCACCAAAACAAATTAAAACTCTCTCTGCCACAGTCACCCCCAATGTGGCGTCTGTACATCCTCGCGGCGGATCACCCTAAGGGGAACCCGGCACCGGGGCAGAGCTTGGCTTAACAGCGTAGAGTAAAGCCGATGTAAAGCACAGCACAGTGGATGCGCTTGGCCAGACATGGGGAGCTCTGCAGCCTGCACTGCTATTATGAAGCAGAGAAGGAGAACATCTCCCCTCTCCGAAAAAAAAAGTACCACCTCAGACTGGGCAAACAGCAACAGTTTGTGCCTATTTGATCTTATTCCAGGTCAAAAGAAGACGCCCAGATGTAACTGAAGCATCATCCTTTGTACCACCATAGCAGCTTGAAAGATGCAGCCAGAAAAGGGCTGAAGACCAGCTACATGGCAGACAGCCTGGCATGCCAGAACTAGGGGGTACTCCCCCCTGCCCCCCCCCC